GCAGACCTATCACGGCAACGATTGTTCACACTGTGTCCAGTTCCTCTCTAGTTATGGATGATCATAACTACTTGATTATCTTAACGGAATCACCCTCCGATAAATTATTCATACTTCAACAGAGTGTCCTGTTTCTTTTACTAAGAATTACAGTTTCTCAACCGCCGCTTCCTTGACGTGGTGGTCGGGCTTGCCTATCGTGATGAAGCAACCGAGCTATACTGGCTGGAACAACCGTTCCTCAAGGTCCTGCCATGTCAGACAGGTCGGTTGAAGAGCGGTAAGACTAAAAGCAACAAACCCAAGGTCCGAAGGCGAAGTCGTACTGCTGACTGTACAGAGGTGTGACAGCAGTAAGGTGTTTCCTTCAGACAACCAACATGACAGCGATGCTGCCTTCCCACAAGGAGGGGTGGGGTTAGAAAAGGTCGACCCTAAAAATGTCAGACCTGACCTTACCTCACGGATTTCCGTCTCCGGCGGTAAGGCCCTTTGAAGAACAGAGCTAACACATCAAAAACCTCCCACGAAAAGGCCGTGCGCGGCCGGCCTCAAGCAGTTGTCCCTCGGGCACTGCGGTCACGCTCTCAGGTCATTGAGACCGCCTCTAATCCAATTTCCTTTTCAGGTACCTCCAGAAGAACCCTTCCACGGTGTGGGCAACCGGGAAGTGATAACCGCCCTCATACCTCTAACAGCACCCAAGACCACTGTATTCATAATCAACCTTCCTCTTCAATTCCTATTATTCCTCCTACATCGACTTTCAACCCTAAACTTCCTCCTTCGGCTTCCTCCTCAAGTGTCACCATAGCCAACGATTCTAGTGCTCAAAACACTGTCCCAGGTCTACTGAAACCTCGCTCCAAACTACACATTGGAGCTTTCAACGTACGCACTCTATGTCAAATCGGTCAACAGGCTTCCTTGGCTAGAACCCTAGAATCTCGAACCATTGATGTATGCTGTGTCTCCGAAACACGCATACAGGATCCCAGTGTGGTCATTCACTTGACCTCACCTTGGCAAAACGGAGAGCCAACGAGATACATCCTACGTGTATCTGGTGATCCGATGGCCAGTTCTCGTGGACTGGCAGGTGTAGACATAGCACTAAGCATGAGGGCCGAACAAGCACTGCTAGAGTGGATCCCCGTCAACAGTCGTCTATGTGCTGTTCGGCTAAACGGCTACGTAAGAACTCGGAAGGATAGGGACACACGTCGTTGCCTATTCGTCGTTTCTGCCTACGCTCCCACCGACTGCAGCTCAGATGAAGTGAAAGATGAATTTTACAGAAAGCTATCTGAACTTCTTCAGAAAGCTAAACTTTCAGACATAATACTCGTAGCAGGTGACTTTAATGCTCAGATAGGTAGCTTAAGCCAAACAGAAAGGCATTTAGGTGGATATTTTAGTATTCCGGCACAGCGAACAGATAATGGTGACCGTCTGCTGCAACTGTGTTCAGACAATCGCTTATTTTTAGCAAACACAAATTTTAAGCATAAGGAGAGACATCGTCTAACGTGGCGACCGCCTGCACCAAACCAACGATGGACTCAAATAGACCATATTGCCATCAGTCATCGTTGGAGAGGGTCGGTACAAGATTGTCGCTCATCCTGGAGTACCTGCTTGGACTCCGACCACGCCCTAATACGGGCACGCATCTGCTTGCGCCTCACTGGACGCGAAAAAGCCACAGTAAAAAGACCCATTAGAACCGAACTGAGTAGCGAGGAAACCAAAAGTAGGTTCCAGGAAAAACTGAGGTCACGATTAGGTAGTTCTGAAGACGAGGCTGACCCAGATGTTGCTTGGAAAGATATACAAACAGCTATGGAAACAGCGATGAAATCTATTAGTGACTTAAACCACAGAGTTACAAAGAACCAGTGGATTTCTTCAAAGTCTATCACACTGATGAATTCTCACAAACTCGTCCCATCAGGTTCCCAACATGATAAATCAGATCTAGGTTAAGAAAAATTCTAAGAAACGACCGTGAGCAGTGGTGGGCAATGAAAGCAAAAGAGATGGAAAAGGCGGCGGCTACATGGAACACAAGACAGCTCTACAGACTAATAAAAGAAACTGGAATTAATAAGTCAATTATAAGTCAGACTATTTCGGAAAAAGACGACACCCTCATCCGCTCTCAGTCCAGACGTTTAGAACGATGGGCGGAACATTTCAGAGAACAGTTCAGCTGGCCTTCAGCTACTCTACAACTACCCTCCATTCCCAGACAGTGTGAATGGAACATTGAAGTAGGTCCCCCAACTCTAGCAGAAGTTCAAAAGGCTATAGTTAATCTGAAACGAGGAAGGGCAGCTGGTCCAGATGGATTGGCTCCAGAGGTCTTTAATGATGGTGGTCCAATTTTAGCGATTTGGTTGACTAATATTTTAGCTAAGATCTGGGAGTTAGACGTTATTCCATCTAACTGGTCACAATCACTTATCGTCCCAATATATAAGAAAGGGCCGAAATCATCCTGTGACAACCACAGAGGGATTAGTTTAACTAATATAATATCTAAAATACTAGCCTCGATAATTATCAGACGCCTAACTAAGACTCGTGAACTGCAAACACGAGAGAACCAAGCTGGCTTTAGACCTGGTCGTGGCTGCATCGACCACATATTCACCATTCGTCAGATTCTAGAACACAGGCATACTTATCGGCGTCCGACAATGGTGGTCTTTCTTGACTTAAAAGCAGCATTTGACTCTGTAGACCGCGAGATTCTGTGGTAGTGTCTGTCATTGAAAGGCGTACCTCAGAAGTACATAAACCTTGTGAAGGCTCTTTACTCGAACACTACCAGTCGAGTCAGAGCTTATGGCGAACTGTCATCTACTTTTGCAACCTCAAGTGGTGTCCGTCAAGGCTGTCCACTTTCCCCATTTTTGTTTAACTTCATCATAGATCTACTGATGGAAATAACTTTCTCGTCTACTGAGTTCTCGGGTATTGATCTCCTACCAGGAGGTCCACTTATCGACTTAGAATACGCAGATGATATAGTCCTGTTTGGTGAAGACGCTGACAAAATGCAGATTCTTCTGGTAGCACTGAGAAACAATGCCAGGATGTTTAGAATGCGCTTCTCTCCCTCTAAATGCAAGTTGTTGCTTCAGGACTGGTCTGCGTTAACACCTGAACTAAGGATTGGGAGTGAAGTAGTCGAACGCGTTGACAACTTCACTTATCTTGGAAGTCTGATCAGTCCTAATGTGTTGGTGTCTGACGAAATCTCAGTACGGATTCGAAAAGCTCGTTTGACTTTTGCCAACTTGCGTCACCTATGGCGAAGGCGAGATATCCATCTATCAATAAAAGGACGAGTGTACTGCGCGGCAGTCCGTTCTGTTTTAATTTACGGCAGCGAAACATGGCCATTAAGAGTAGAAGACACTCGTAAGCTATTAGTATTTGACCACAGATGCCTTGGAAATTTTGCTGGCGTCTGTTGGGATCACCGGGTAAGTAATGAATCTTCATCGACTGAGATGGTTGGGCGTGTTACGTATGCCTGAATACCGATTAACACGACGTGCAATGCTAAAGGGTGTTAGAGATGGTTGGAAGATAATTAGGGGCGGCCAAACCAAAACGTGGCATCAGTGCTTGAAGACACTAACCTCTAGTCTGAGCCATGTTGGTAGATGCAGACTACTTGGTTGGGGTCCGCGTGACTATCGTTACCAATGGTTGGAGACTTTTGGTGACATGGCTCAGAATCGATCACAATGGCGTCGGTGTATACACTCCCTGTCTTCCCTTAAACTAGGAGATTAAAATCACTTCATATCTTTCTTTCTACGAACCAATTCTTTCTTCTTGTACTATATCTCTATATGCAATCTTTCTCTTACATATTACTACCTTCGACCTAACCACTGCAATGAATCCGGTGTTCATCTTGTTGTGCTGATGCGGTATGGCAACCTGGACCGATGCACATATGTGCCTGGTCCTACATTGTAGCTGACTGACTGACTGACTGATCCATCTCTTTCTGTGTCAACCACAGTATGTACGTAGATTGTCACATATTGTGCAATTATTATGTAATTATTATGCAATTATATATATATATATATATATAATTCATGTTTCTGGTCACTGATGTTCATGCAGTATTGCTAATTTGGAAACTGAACTTCATCATCAAGTTAATAGACTACTTATATTCCATTAACTCAAAATGGAATTTATCTACTTAGCTGAGTCATTACATTTGAACTTAATAAGTTGAGAAAAATATTTATAACAAAAAATCAATGCATTTCAGCTCGAGCATGATCATTAGTTGCAAATAATAACCAGAAACAATGATCTGATATACCTTTAAATGATATACTGATGATGTTCTCTAGAAAGACAATTAAAGATTCACGGTTAAGTGATTCAACTCAAAGAATACGGTACCTCACATGTCATCATTTTGATCGATAAATATTCTGCATCATGTAGGAAAAAGTAATTATTCAAGACTGACTGATTTTAAACGATTCACTAACTTATGCCTAGACTGTGCTAAACATAATCTTTTGAATTCATTTTTATTTAGTGATGTCCTAATCATGTGTGTTCCGAATACGTTTAAAGAGTATTTTTCTAGGCATAATCGGTTAATTTGTTTTCTTTATTAAGTCAGAATTTTTCATACTCTTTATTTACTATCTATACGTGTGCATATATGGATGTATGTGTAAATATTTGCATCATTTCATGATACATGTGCATGCCTATACTAGAATAATCATATATCATAATTTCATATTCTAATAGGCGTTGAACAAAACCAACAACATTAAGTGTTGTCATTCCGACATCTTCAATTTATAAAATCAATCATAATGTGATATGAACTGATATATATCAGTCAACAATATTGCAGTATAAATACGAATAAGCAACATATAAATTGATTCAATCATTTCAAACACATTTACCTAATTCACAGTGAATTTTTGTTCATTTTGATGGATCCATTTTTACATGCATTTTTTGCAGTTGATCTTGATCATGATGAAAAAATCAGTATGAAGGATTTAAAGAATTATGTTGAAACATACAATCTAGACGAGAAAATGATTGAAGTAAGTTGAGACATTTTTTTCTGTCAGAAAAGATGCTGCTGTATTATGGGAACTTGTAGTTGAATAAAGACTATTCATTGTTAGATTGAATAATGTTTTTCAAAGAATACATTTTTTAGTTATTATTCATAATACAGATGTTTCGTTAATAACCGCAATTGAATGAAACATTGTCGAAGGTTGATTTGGAAGTAATTCAGTTGACGACTAAGTATGCTAAATCGAACCAATTCATCAATTATTTGTCAACAGAAACCATCATGATTCCTTGGTCACGGATTGATTGTAATCAGTATTTAGTATTTGCTTATTGCCTAGCGCTCGTAAATCAAGACGTAGTAAAGCCACCATTTTTAGTGACTTGAAGTCTGTAGAATAACATAAATTGATGGGAAACTTAGAATAAAGTCATAATAATTAGTCAGTGGTGTCACAGATAACTTTCGACAGTTACACTAAAAACAATATTATGAAAATAGAAATGATATTTCTGAAAATCTCAGTGAGTGAAATAAGAAATAATTACGTTTTTTGAGATTGATTTGAGCTACTTCAGTTGAGCTGTTTCCCACGTCAGTTTGTAAAATCATTACGTTTATGTAAACTTCCGCCATCGCTTAAAAACCTAAAACGCATTACCAAATCTCATATTGAATCGACAAAATTACTCATTACACGACTAAGGACTGGGGCCGGTGCTTTTGTTAAAGCTGTTAATGATCTAAACATCGTGTGTCGAATAAAATTCAGAAACTTTATCCGTAATCTTCAAATCAAGGTTTGCAATGATTTCCATAAATCTCTATCGAAAACTCTGATAAAAGAACAACTATGTTTAGGGTTTCCGGAAAACCCTTCGAAGTTTATCTATAACTTATCAAATACGAAGCTTAACAGTATAGAAACAGAAGCCTTATCACTGGGACTCAAATTTCATGTACCAAAAACAAATATTGACAGGATTGATACAGAAGCTCAATTCGGAAATCTGTTTGACCAGTTAAAAGATTTGCAGCCAATGAATGAAGAAAAGAAAGGATGGTTCAAATCAAAGTTAGATGATATTGCCAACCAATACATTGTGTCATCGACACCAAAGTCGAATATTCTATCCAAAGAACATCTAATAGCCCTAAGAAACATCAAGCAAATTAATGAGGTGATGATTTTACAACCGGATAAGGGTTCAGGTGTCGTCCTAATGAATATAGCTGATCATGTCGCTAAGATGAAGTCAATCCTAGACGATCAACTGAGGTTCAATGTAGATAAATCCCAAAAATATTTGACTGATTCAACAGAAAAACGAGTCACAGGCATGTTTAGAGAACTCCTAAAAAAGAAAATGATTGATAATTCTACTTACAACGATCTAAGACCACGTGGTTCACGTCTACCTCATATGTATGGTTTACCAAAAGTCCACAAACATGACGTTCCCCTTAGACCCATCCTATCAATGATCAACTCACCGTATCATAAAGTTGCACGCTGGTTAGCAGTAAAACTAGAACCGGTTCGTCGTAGATTAGCAACATATACGCTAAGAGATTCATTCCAGTTTGCTGATAGACTAAATCATACGAATGTTACCGACAAGTTCATGGTCTGTTTTGATGTAACATCCTTGTTCACCAATATACCACTTTTTGAAACTATTGATATAATTTGTAAGAATGATGATCTCCTACCTTTACCAGCCCCAGAATTCAAAAAACTACTACTAATATGTACAACAGATGTTCAATTCCAATTTAACAACACCATATATCGCCAAGTCGATGGCGTAGCAATGGGAAGCCCACCAGGTCCAATTATGGCAGATATTTTTATGGGGTATCTTGAAAACACGGTATTTAAGCAGGCAATTAGTGAAACAACTGAATACTCCAGATATGTGGACGACAAATTTATTATCTGTAACAATAAACAGCATGCTAAAACTTTTTAATAAGGCTCACACCAACATACATTTCACTATGGGGCACGAACACAACGACATGTTCCACTTTCTTGATGTTGCCATAAAACGCAGGGGAGACGGGACAATCCAACGTTCAGTTTATAGAAAAAGTAATTGGAATGGCCTCTACCTGAATTTCAATAGTTTTCGTCCAATTAGTTACAAGAAGGCATTGGTTAAAACACTATTTTACAGGGTTGAAAAGATATGTACCAACGACAAACTGGAAGAAGAATTATTGAACGTAGAAAAATGTCTAAAAGACAACTTTTACCCACAAGAGTTTATTAACAAATATAAAAAGCCCAAAGAAAACAAGACGGAAATAACTACGGTCAATAAAAAGCCAGTATATATAAATCTTAACTTTAAAGGTGATAACGTCGCACAAATAATCAACAGGAAACTGAACACTGCTCTAGCCAGAACTTATCCGGCTGCTAAACTTTTAACTCCCTATAAAACAACATGTTCAATAACCCAATCAAAGATCGACAAGCAACCCTTTCATGCTACCGCCAACTGTATTTATAAATTTACGTGTACCTGCCAAAGCAGCTACATCGGCCGAACTGAAAGGAGAGCAGATCTTAGATTTTTTTAACATGTTCCAAAAAATCTTAGAATAAGGGAAAGAAAGACTCTGAACAGTGCAACCACCAAACATCTCCTTGATACAGGACATCAGGTAGATACCTTACAATCCTTTAGGGTGATTAGTAAGCAGCCAAACTCCAGTTTTCCGAAGTTTGCTGAAGTCATTGCCATCAGGCGTCAAAAACCTGATCTATGTATTCAAAAGGAGATGGTGGTTTATCTTTCCTTGCCCTTGTGACAAATATTCCTTCACTGCACCTTAAACTTTTTTCCCCTTTTTTTCTTTCTTTTGCATTTATTACATCATTGATGTTATTTTATTTTTTCAACTATCTTTCAAATGAATAATCTTTCATCTGATCTCTAATCACTATATTCCTATCAATGTTTATTCATTATGTAATCAATTGTCTCTAACCCACTTTTGAACTGTTGTCACAATTAATGTTGTAGAATATTCTTTCACATTAGGTATATATTTACAATATTCAGTAAGCAATTTAAACCCATTAAGTAATTATGATTTTTAAATATCACAGGTTGTAAGCAGCTGATGAGAACCTACGAAATAAAATGAATTCTGCTAGAATATTTGTTCTTGCTCATTTCAGAATACAAATGGAGTTGATAAGCAACTATGAACTAAACAATTTTCAAACATCTCTCTGAACATCATATCTATTTCACTATTAAAAAAAAAACATGGGAGATAATAATGTTGGCTAGAATTGATATTGACCAAGCAAATTCTCTACTATTATGAATCCGATGATAAGTATTTCATAGGCCGGTCAAAATGACGCTTTTGATTGGTGTAAGAAGTTTACAGGTCAATGGTAGGAGGGCAGACGTATTGGAACAGATTGTTAAAGACATATCCAAACAAGGTATTCGAAAAAATTATTTAAATATATATAGCTGTCGTCTAAATTACATAGGCTGAAGAGGGATATAGGAATGAAAGATAAATTCTAGTGTTGCAATTACTTGCATTCGAATTTATTTGTTTGAGCTTTTTGGATTCACTCAGTTATATTGTAATTCGTCTGTCAGATATTCAGTAAGAGAATCAGAATACGTTATGAAGGATTCTGATTCTATCCAAGTTCATTGTGTTCGGTTGCTACCATACCTAGTGCTATCGTCGATGTGTTTCCAAACTTTTAGAGTATTCAAAATGTATAGCCATGTGCTCTAAACAGAGTTTGTTTCGTCACTCTTTCATTTAACATTTCTAATATCTCGCCCAGATATATGACAGTAAGGCCATTAAATTAAATTTCCCAACCAGAATTCTTGTATTTCTCTTTTGGCATTGTATTTTTGACTATTAGTAATAAGTAACTAGGAATATTATTCATTCGAAAAAATGTCTTTATTTCATGTTTATTTAGGATTGCTCGTACTTCATTTCATGTAGTGGGGGAATAACGATAGAGTTAATTTAATCCTTGAATGAACCTCTTTTTTCCCTTATTTTCTTAATATTCTTTTAAATGCAGTATTCACGGTAATCATACATAGTCAGTAAAGTCAGGTTTAAATTGAGTAAAATATCTATGCCATCCATGCCAAGTTATAAAACTCTGTCTATCAGATCCTTACCGCCTATTATATATATGCCGAGTTCTAAAATAGATATCTCTAGGATTGTCTTCGATTTCGGAATTTACTGATTTTATGTAATGATCCTTTTTTCAACAGTTGAGATCATGAGTCAATTGAAGCTAGACCACCATGGGAAACCTGGAAGCACTGGACAGCCGTTTCGTCCTTTTGTTAAACATTAGCTAGACATTAGTTAGGCATTAACACCGTTGGGTGAGGCTCAGTGGCCTAGTTGGTTAAGCGCCTGGAGCGAGACTGTTAGGTCTTGGGTTCGAATCCCGCAAGGCGGGGCCGTGTGTGCTCGCTGCTGAGGAGTCCCACAATAGGACGAAACGGCCGCTCAGTGCTTTCTAGTTCTCCATGGTGGTCTAGCTTCAACTGACTCATGATCTCAACTATTGAAATTACTACAATCTCCATAAAACTCCTTCTGATTCTGTTTTCTTTAAAACAAACAGTCGTGAAGTACTAGATTATGGTCGACAGAATTAATCTTCTTGATAAACCTGATGCTATATGATATGCTGTTGACATTGTTCTGAACGCTTCTTTTAATCAATTTCATTCCGTATTAATAAAGGCATTATCCGGACACTATAACTAGACATCTTTGTGGAAAAAAATATATTTTCAGATTAATCTTCGGTACATCAAATGCATAAACAAGTTCGCATCAATCGAGGAAGCTGAAAACTACACTGATAATTCTTTTGTTTACCAGTATAGACTTTCTTTAAAATGAACAAAGTGGAATGTAAACATGATTTCAACGTTTTAATAATTTGAATGTGTTACAACAGACAATACATTTCCAAGTTCACGTCAGATTCTAAACACTCTAATGTAACATCTAGGCATTTCTCTATAGGTATATTACACAAAATTCAAAACTTGTCATTGTTTAATCTTCTTACAGATAGATAACAGTAATAGCGTTTTTAAATTCAGTCGAATATTTGATTCCGTACATTAATTGATATTGAAGACATTATCCGCCTGCGAATCTACATAGTTAGTTTGGTAGCACATTCATGTTGTGGTTAATTAGTAATACGAAAAATCTACACAAACTTCAACATTATAGACTAAAAATGGCAACTATAATTTTCCAATCTCGTCTCTAGAAACTTTAGCATTAACTTTGTTCAGTGTGATTAGACATTTATTTTCTCTGGTATTTTCATAAGGTCCGTCCTAAAAAAAGTTCTCCTTTTCTTTAGTAATTTGATATTGTCATAGAATTAAAATAGTACAGTTATGTCTTCGACGACCTCGAGTTTCATTACTAAATATATATTCATACTTGATAGCACAAAAAGTAGCTGTCTTACTAGATTTATTGTTGTTTCAACATGGTATGAACTGTTTATATGTCATGGAGTTAAAACATTGAAAACATAGCTGCATTACGATCCGATTTATCAATATTTACTTCTTTTTTCAAACTTTAGAGTAGTTTAACTATAACACAAATAAATATACGAATCATTGACATTATCTTCAAATTGTAAGGGGTTAAAAATTCATCAGGTTCGATGTACGTTTGCATTAAACTAATTACTTTCAAATTCAAGCAACTAACCAGAAAATAGTTTCTTAAGTTTTTGTTTTCGCTCCTCATGTTGACTTATCTACAGAAGATGTTCAAATAGGTAGGTAGATTTCGATAGTATGATATTCTCTGGGTTAAATAATATAATCTTGAATCTCTCATTATATTTCTAGACAAACGTATCAATACAAACTATATCCTATTCTTGGAACTTTATGCTGATAATGATGTGTAAACCCTGATGTTTAAATAAAAATCTTGCTTCGGTAACACTTTAAAAAACTCATCCTAATTTAGTTGCTCATTACTTTAAACAGTTTTAAAACATAGACAGTATGACAATATAAAATGTTGTATGATTGTATTATTGAAGATTTAAAGTTGGGGTGTTATTTTATAATATGCTCAGAAATGAACATATCTAACCAAATTTCTGTTATCCTAATACATATAATTTGGAATATACAAGTTTGTTACTTCATAATTACTTACAATATTCAGTCTATTAAATTTATTTATACCCTTGCTATATTATACTAATATATCTTCAACATAACTTTCAACTAGACCGTCTCATGTAAGTAGTTTAAACCCATTATGTAATTATGATTTTTAAATATCTCAGGTTGTAAGGAGCTGACGAGAACCTACGATATAAAATGAATTCATACTATTCTGTAGGTATCATTACCAAGGTTTGATTTGATAATTTCGAATAATATCAGTTGTTTGTGGAGATTTTAGAAATTTCACAGATTGAAATCATGAGTCAATTGAAGCTAGACCAACATGGAAAACCTGGAAGCACTGGACGGCCGTTTCGTTCTGGTATGGGACTCCTCAGCAGTGCGCATCCACGATCCCGCACACCGCGAGATTCGAACACAGGACCTATCATTCTCGCGCCAAGCGCTTAACCAACTAGACCACTGAGCCGGCATCCAACGGTGGTAATGTCTATTTTCAACCAATCTACGAAGTTTCGCTACCGTACACCATTGTCTTCAGTGAGCTGATATCTCACAACAGACTTCGTTGAACTCCACTGGTAACGGCTTCCCACTAGAACTCCAGGAGTATCTCTTGGAGTCAGTCACTAGTGAGTAGATGGTTATTATCAGAAGAAGTTTGTGGATGCTCACTGCTGAGGAATCCCATACTGGGGCGAAACGGCCGTCCAGTGGTTTCAGGTTTTCCATGGTGGTCTAGCTTCAATTAACTCATGATTTCAATCTGGGAAATTTCGAATAAATTGAGCATTGGGTAGATTGTTATAAATAAATATATTTATTTATTCATACTATTCTGCTAGAATCTTTGTTCTTACTCTATTCAGAATTAGAACTTAAATACTTAAATTTCATTTCGGATGAAAATTAACAGTTTTTTTTCAGGGGGGTGGTAAAATAAAAAATGAAAATTAAAAAATATACATATCGGTTGTCAACTTGGTCTCTATGGCTTAATCAATTAACAGATACCGATTATTAATCATTTCTGATAAATTACATTTCATTATTACTTTTTTTTAATTGAGTGAAAATGCCACTATCTGTTGATAAAAAGTGAAAATCTGACAATAAAAAAAATTTGGTTTTATGAGATTTTTGTTTTTTTAAAAGAATAAAAATTGTGTTTGGAGCCATTTGATGTTAACTTTAGAAAAAATAAAATCAAATTAGAACTATCGTGTTGTTTGAGTGAGTTAGTACATTCTTACTTTTATAGGGCAATATTTTCTATTTATCTCTTACATACTAAAGTTGGACTGAATTGTTAGATATTAGAAATCCGCTATGATTTGAGAATATAGTGAGCATATATATATGCGTATATTTATATGATAGGTATGTTGAATGATAACTTTGCGTTTTTAATCTTGGAATGTATGATTAGAAATATTTCAAGAATACGTCAACTAACCGCATCAATATTGAATTTTCAATGTGATGATTTGCACACATACCGAAATAATTTTGTTCAATCATTAAATGTCAAACTATGACAGTTTTCATCTATTTTGTTTAGCTTTATTGTGTAACATTTGATTAAGTTTCTGAGTTTAGAGCTAATTGATGAAACAGTATTTAACACAGCTGGTGAATGATAAATTACAAATACAAAACTCTCAAGATGCAGAGAACAGGTAATTTAGTAATGAGAAAGTTTTACCTTTTTAACAAAACTGATCTGAAGTTTCAAAGCTTGTTTCTTAATTACTGTTTAAATATGTGAATGATAACTTTAGTTCAGCTTAAAACGCAATATATAAACCAGTATTTTGAAAACAAGTTGAGTTGTAAACACTTATTTATTGAATAAAACTGTTAGGGATGCAGAGGAATATACCAATAATTATCATGTTAAGTCTAATGGTGGCCTCGGACTTGAAATGTACACTCCCTATTGGTCGATATTTGTTTCACTTGTTAAATATTGTGTAAATGTTGTTTTCTGTTTTATGGTACGATGTGGTTTGTTTGTTTGGTATATAAATAGAGTATGGCTGAAGTATAATGATTCATATCTCAGAGGCTGTGGCTTGTGTTCTGGACTCAACTGGCTGGGATAGACAGGGAAGCAGGATCAATCAGAACACTAGGTCTTTCGTACGTGTTTACGTGTTACTGTAATCGATCAATAAAACTCTACTCCATCTAAACTGCAATCCACCCTTTACAACAAAAACACTTGATCTATGCTGTTGACACAACCTTTTCGTTGTTATATGATCACTTTCCGTCATATTCAACCTAGCGATATCCAATATCATCAAAGTCATCAGTAAGGAAGTATAATTTTCTACTAACAATTTAGTTTTAATGAGAATACATACATGTAATTAGTACATTAACTGCTTTTTTAGGAAGTCAGTATTGAATTCGTTTGCATAATACTATGATAATATATTGATAGTACTAATACTTGTACTAGATAGATAATTTCTCTGACAATATATTTCATTTTTCTTATCACCTATAGAGCTGGAGAAAATTATTTGATCCAAATCGTACTGGCTATATAACACTAGCAAAGTTTTGCGATGTACTAGGAGTAAAAATGGAAGAAGCGTAAGTGTTCTGAATCGGAAATAGGAAATAACATTTACAAATATCATATCTTTCCATTAAGTGAATGATTTATTATTAGGAGGCTTGTCTGAAAGTAAATTTCATTTTGAGATGATATCAGCTAAAAGTCACCAATCACCGGAGACAATCAGCCAGATAGATTTTCACTGACATTTGACCTGGGTTACAAAAATTAAAATCTTCATGGTTAACGATTTTTTAACGATATCATATGACTACTGAGTAAGTAGCCAATTATACTTGTTTTCTAAATTGAATTAATCTACAAGCAATATCGTCATTTATTGATTATCTGACATTGCGTTTTATTGATTATAAATACCAAAGTTGAAATTGCACAATTTGACGATAGTCAACATTTGGAAATGAATATACATAAAAAGCGGAAGTTTTCATCATTAAGTGATAATAATTTCTGGAAAACGTACAATCTTTCATTAATTGACATTTATGAAACAATGGGATTGGGTAAAACACTAAATTGCACAAATGATAATTAACATTTTAAACATTAAGTTAACTATCTTTTTGATCGAGATCATGAACCAATTGATGCTAGACCACCGTTGGAAACCTGGAAGCATCGGACGGCCGTTTGGTCCTTTTGTGGGAATATTCAGTGGTGCGCATTCACGATGCCGCTCGTGGGATCCGAACCAAGGGCTTTCAGTCTCGCACACGGACGCTTAGCCTTTAGACCACTGAGCCGGAATCTAATGGTGTTAGTGTCTAACATCAACCATCCACAAAATTGCGCGATATCTGTTTCTACCCGACATGGATTAGCTCCACTGATCACGGCTTCTCACATCAATCGGTTCATGATCTCAATCAAAAACTTAATAATCTCCATAACTCTTATACTAATAATTAACTATCTGTTAAATAATCCATAACATGAATAGATGGTCGATTTTTAAAAAATATCATGTATTCAAACCTCATAAAATTTGAGTACAATAATCAATAATTGAAAGTAAGTTAGGTAGCTACTAATTTTTTTCTCTTTAAAGACCATTTGTTAAGGTCTACTGAACAATATTTTATTATAAGTCATTATCTTTGATTTAATTCTCATTGTAATATGAAAAATCTAATCTGTTAACTATAAAAATGTTATCTAATTTAGTCAACGAATATATTCATGTTTTTCAAGATGTAGTTGAACATTGACTACTTTTATATTCAGAATTTTGTCATCGCTGTTTATTTGAATATAGTCGAAAGGTTAGAGAAGAAATTAAAAGACGTTCAACCAATATACTTCCATCTGATGTCTATGTTATTGCCCAACAAATGAGTATCACCGATCAGATACAAATAAGTGATCAAGCTAGACGTTTATTATTTCCACCTAATGAACTTGATAATAAAGAAATTGCTCATAGTTTGAAATTATGGCTACATAAAGTATATGGTCCAATATGGCATGTTGTGGTAATACGTGGAGATTATGGTGCATCATATACGCATTCAGAGAATCGATCATTTCAATTTCGACTACGAAACAAATGCTTTTTAATATGGAATACACCTGATCAATAACAACTGAGTTAAACAATCTTTTCGATTATATTTTTAATAATATAGAATTAATTGACGAAAAATTTCTTTGTACTTGTTTTTTTCCTTAAATTGAGATTTTATTTGTATCGGTTTGCTGTTCTTCTTATATTAACAAATTCATTGTCTTTCATAAAGACAGTAACAGTTTTTTTGCATAACTTTGATTAGTTCATAACTTGGCTCTTGACAGTTTAAAGCATTGACTGATAAAATCAATCTTTAAAATAAATTTATATATACAGATTAAGTTTTCCATGGTTACGTGGGTTGGATTTAATGAAACTCCACATAGATATTAACGTTTAATAATAGCTACAAATTGGGAATTTATTCAAGCTGATTTAATAATAAGTTTTAAAAATTCATTCATTTTTTTATGTAATAAACGTAACGGTACAATAATAGTCAAAATATCTATTTGACATGGTAATTGGTAGTTCTTAACTTTTATTGAAACTTTACTTATATGTGTAAGTTTGATATAATTGAATGCTATTACGAGTTCACCTTACTTGGTAAGCGGAACGGAGGTCAAAATACAGTGACACGATAGGCTATTGTAATCCGCTGTCCCCGGCCCTGCTAATTAGATCAAAAAGTCTTGATGAGGCGTAGAGAATGTATTCTACTAGCACCCAGAAAATACGAGGTCGCTAAGCACACAAATCAAACTTATTTATACAATGATTGAAACAACCTTGGGAGAGCCACAAAATAGCGTACTAAAAAATCCGTCAACCAATGACAGTCAAGGATTTCCGAGTGGAAAGTGTAAGCTGTAGGTCAACTAAGCGTCTCTTGGCGCGAAAACATAAAGTTCAAAGTTTCAGGATAAAATTACAAAATTAAGACCTTTTCCAAGTGTATTCTGGGGATCTAACAACCTCAACAAAGGTACTTTGTAAGATTTCCACAAATTTCTACAGAATTTCCAAACTTGAAATTAGTAGAGATAACTGGTCTTTCACATCCATGTTATTCGGATTAGCATGAGTAAAATAATCCATGGTCATGATGCTTAGTCTGCATTAGATTATAATGGGTATGATAAATTTTTATGACCCACTGATATGACAGAAATTTGATCGTATGATGATGATAATGAAATATGCATCCTGACTACCCACGTGTAAAATTATCGACTTAAATTGCGTTAGTGAATAGGGGAGTAAAATAAACCAAATGTAAGAATGAATTCTGAACACGCATATTTCTAGTACTCGTTTTCCCTGACAGACAATTAGAGAAATGGAGCGAAGAAGCAGATCGTAGAAGGAAAGTCTGTCATCTCGATTTGACCTAGTGTGACCGGATAAAAATAAGTTACAGAAATACAATGAACAGGGTAAGCAAAACATACATATAAAAACAGTCATGGTAAAAAAAATATGACTCAAGAAGAATGGATAAACTGGTCTGTTCGGAATAACCCATGTGGACATGACTTAGGTTTAAGCACTCAAAGCTTCATTGGTTATTTTTAAATGTTTATTGGTGTGAATAACTGTATTGTAAAAGACTCGTACCTGGAAATTCTTTTCTTGAATATATACTACTTTTTGGACATTTAATGTTTGAATGTTAGTAAAAAAGCATGTATTTGCATGAAATACATAATAAAGTTAAGGACAGTTTACTTATTTTTTGGATGTACATTACGTTAGATAATAGCAAATGAATCATCAAAACCATTTCGAAGACTATATAGAAAATAAAAACTGAAGATCAAAGACGCAATAACAGTATAAGATAATGTTGTGGTTATTTATGCCAATAATCAATTATTATTACGAAATAGAACATTGTTTGATTAAATGTGATAAGTGTTTTCTTAATGGTTAGAAATTACGTGATCGTTAAGTTTATAAGCAATCATCCTCTGATTGTGAATGATAACATACCTTCGAACCAACCAAAACTATATATGAAACCATTTTACAGTAACCTGCATCATAATAGCTAGGAAAGCAGCAAATTAATAGTCATTAAAGTGATAAAAAAATCTGAGAAGAAACGGTTTGAAACAAACAAATTAAGACGTGGAGTGAAACTTTCTGAGAAGAAAAAAATGTTCAAGGAATGGATTTTCAATCGTCCCTGTTTATGACTTCGTCCTTTCAGGACTGAAATGGAATTTTGGGTCATAGTTAAGAAGTTTGTAACTCCTTTTATGGCAGAACCTTTCAACCACTGATTTGCGAAGTAATATCATTTCTAAATGCGACATCTCTTGACTTATGTTTAACTTTCTATTACAAAAGCCTGTATTGCACGTTCGCTAGATGGACTAACCATATGTCATGTTCAGTTTAATCTATGACTGTTAGAGGTCTCATTAAGTGACCAAACGAATATGCTCGGATCTGTCCTCTTAACTTCAACATCGATCATTCAGTGCTTCTACTGTTTTGTGTGCTACTTATATTGACATAAGTAGTATATGATGGTAGTCATAAACAAAAGGTCTGGAAGCAGAGAGACAAGAGGATCGAACAGTAAAGAATGGAAACAAAATGCAATTTGTATGAATATGCAAGAACAATGAAGTCTGAGTCATTATGAGACAACTGATGGACATTTTGCAAATTAAGCATTTACTTTTATGATTGTTAGATTTTATTAACAAGTCCTGTAATTTTGTGTTGAATACATTCGATTGTCCTCACCTGTGTTCTGTTCACTACACTACCACTGTTAAGCGATGGTTTAAAGTTTTCTGTTCTTAAGTAATATCAACTTACATAAATTATATTTTCCCGAAAACCCTGTTTCCAAAGCGTTATCCAGTACAGAGAAACTGTGAAGTGGTATATCCACTCGCTGAAAACAGAACAGACATCATGACCATTTTGCATGTTGTGCGAGTTTACAGAAGCCAAGCAAGCGTTTGTATTCATGATGTCGTCAGTGCACTATTCTGTTCACTTGACTATGTAACGTTTTGTTAGACGAAAAATTCATACAAATCACTTTCGAAGAAAACGTTTGTCATTATGTGTAATGTCATACACATGTTTACATTATATTTCAAGTCGATCAAAATCAGTTCATTTCTTCGGGCTCTGTCACAGAAAATAGAGCTTTCGTCTGCTAATTTGAACTCCATAGGCCTAGTTGAAGATGTGTGATTAGTCCATAGAAAGTGAGATTGGACATAGCTCTTAAAGTTATTTTATCATGAATGAAATAGGCACAGAAAGGAAGGGTATTCATCACCGAATTTCGCTAATATATCAGTCAGTCTAATTGATATCAGTTGACTAACGTACTAAGACGAATTTGCAGATAACCCACTGTGGTTTTTAGTTGACCTTCTTTGTCGGTTATTGGTAGCCTTTATGACTTTGATAAATATTTTACCTCTATTATCAATCTACTGTTCTGCTCGCTGAGAAAAAATTATCAACTGGTGAGTAGTTGAACGCCTAAAGGGATTCTTAAAATCGTTTTTCAAATTTAGATCCGTTATCTGTCAGAAAACACTGACAAAAGCGAGTTTCAGCCATTTCGTGGTTATCAGTAGTAGAAACACATCATATATAAATAAAGTGAGATGGGATTAAACAAATCAGAGATGACTGCTGTCGTCATACATGAATATTGTAAACTTCGATTCCAAGAAACGTGTTGAAAACACTTCTTAGAAATACGTGCGTCGGGACGTTTGTCACTGAAACTACTTATCTAGAAACAAGTGCATGTCTTCTCAAGGAATATTTATGTTATGTTTGAGCACTACTGAGTAGTAGTTTAAAGCTGACAAAGTAAAAATATTGCTCCTTCAAATTTTACGATTAGTTTAGATTTGCGCTGCTATGCAATTTCTTGAAAATTACTGTGACTACTTAATATAAGTAAGTAGAGTAGGGTAACATTAATGAAATGTGAGTAAAGAAAAAATGTAAAGAAAAGAGTAAATTTAATACGTATCCTGAAGGAATTTTAGCAATCTCGCTTCGCGAACAATCAAGAATTATCAAGTTTGCAATCTATTATTTCTATGTTCATGTTACAATTATTTTTTAAAAAAATGTTAGTAACAATGATCTACCACTGTATGCTAGATAAGTAGACTGTTGGTTAAGTGAACTTATCGAAACCTGAGAGGTAATGGTTCAATACATGGAAAGGGCATGAATCTCGACTGAGAAAGAGTTACATATTTGAAAATAATAGATATCCGTTTCTTCCTGGTCGTCAGTGGTTTTCTAATGAAGATTATCCAAATATGTAAACTACAAAATTCAACAATCTTCATAAGCTTTTGTTACAAATAATTAAACGTTTTGTTAAGATCATGAACCATTGGAAACCTGAGGAAACTGAAATACCACTTTGAAAGACCAAACACCCTAGGTTTGACTTCCAGGAGCGAGGTTACAAGTACGCTCTGTCGAAGAGTCCCATACTGTACGATAAAACACTAGTACAGTACCTCTAGGTTTTCAATTGTCGTACAGCTTAGATCGGTTTGTGATCTCAATAAAATTCAATAGACTATATAACTTTAAACCGGTAAAAAACGTTTATTTTTCTTCTATTGATGAAAAGTTATCTCATACAATTAAAATTTAAGAATATACCATTTTGCATCATATAATAAAGTATTCGCTTAGCAGGAGTCTCACTGACATCGTAGGCCAGCATCATCTTGTTGAGGAGGAACATGACCAACAACGCTCCATAAACCAAGAACTACTAATTAATTGCTTAAATTATCCGGACAGATATTTTCTCTAGATATGTTTTTAAAACTCTAAGGAGCATTTTTCTAAACAGTCTAAAGAATATCAGCTAATGTATTATTAACAAAGAACAACATCCATTTAAGTCAATTAAACCCCATGAATCGATTCCAGCCAGGCTCTCAAGGTTCTTTCATCTTCAAAAACCAAACTTATCTGTGGGTTTAGGGATACCGTTAAACTCAAGAAACTTCTGGAAACTTAGTAAATTAAGTGACAGAGAAAGTAATCAACACTGATAATCTGTCATTTCCCTAGAAATCGCTGTAAAACATTCTAACAGGATGAGATGTTATCAGCTTTTGTAGGGTAAGCTTAATGAGCAGAAAATCATGTACATTTTCTAGCTTATGAACATCTTTTTGAATTATCGAGGGATCTCAACAGATTCTCCTTTTTTAAAACCTTCATCATTTGATGACAATTACTTCTGGTTAAATATCTTAGGTTTCTAAATAAAAGTTTAGGATCTACATTGATTGTGTCATTTGATATATCAATGATTTTTACAAACACTTGCTAAAGTATAGGTGAACAGTTTCGATATCGTGATCTTATTATAACTATGAAAACCCGCTTTGTAAACAGAGGTGATATGATGAGCCTATCAAAATTAGCCTAATGAGATCAGTTGATAACAATCACAAGTGACCTGATGTTCAAGTGCATTTGATTGTCTAAAAATGGATTAATTTCCAAAAGGGTAGAGTTGTACAGATATAAATGAGTATTTGTGCATTTATTTGATAGCCCAATATTTCTTCTCGCTCACTACTGTGTTCTCACCCAAGTAGTGAGTTGAGCACATAGTATATCAGTATCGGCTTCCGAACATCGTCTGTCATAACTAAAGGAGAAATGTGATTTGAACAACCCAAGGAAGAGGGCAGATGAAGATGATGTTCACTCTCCAATTATCATACCAAATTAAAACATAAGTAATGCTGATTAATTGACACTTTGAGTAGAAATGTAATCTTGCTTATTTATCTCATCCGAACAGATATGGCATACAATTTGCTTTATTTGACAAATAATAAAACAAATACATATATTTGTTTCCCAAGCATATAATTAATTTTATAGGAAGTTTGTTGAAAGCTCCCATACAAGGTTTTTTGTCACTATAATGTTACTATAGCCAGTCTTAGGATCAACTTTAAATGACTCCAAAACGGATTATTGAGGACTTGATAAATAATGTAAAATCTTCGTCCGGGTTTTCTAAGCTGATATTAGCGTATCGTTATTTTAAACTTCAGTAAGTCACACGGAAGATTATGACAATTTAAAATAGATAATGATGATTACTTTACTTGCTTTTCCGGCGTATAATGTCAGAAATACTAGCGATTTGATCATACTGACTTGTAGACTGGAAGTTTGTAGGTTTAGTGAATTAGTAGATACGCACATATTACTCAAAAGTTGTCCATTACTCCCTGATTTACAATGGCTCTTTAAGTGATATCACTCTGTAGTGTGAAAGATTTGACTTTTATTATTAAAAACGGATTAGAAGCAATTTATATAATGCTACAGTTTTTGTGATGAGACAAGTAGGTTTAAAAAGTTACACAATTTTGTGCAATGAAAACAGAATAATTAGAATATCATAAAGTTATCTGTCTTTTGTATGTTTCAACGGATGACAATGTCAATTAATTGTGCAACCTATACAGGTGCGTTTGTGAAAAGTTCACAACCTTTTGCTGTACAAATTAGGAAAGAACACAATCAGAGACATTGTGGTTACTGGCAATACACATCATAAGAGAATGTACATTATTCAAATGTTAATTCTTGAACTGCTAACGTCTAATTGGTAGATCAAGAAATACTAAACAGAAACTTGTTGAAATACTGTGCGCTGATAATTCTATCTTGTATCAACAATACAATGTTGAATAAAGCTAATAATAATGATAAACGTATACTGAATGAATTTTCTTCTTGAAAGATAAAAAACAAACCCAACAGTCAAACTAATTTATTTCATAATAAAATCCTTCGAAAGTCATTTATAAAATTTCTCCCAATTTACACACATGTACACATCAAAATAAATCTCCCTTTTGAATACTCATTCTTATGAACTCATTCTTGTGATTAATGATTAGGTACAATGATTAAACAAAAGTATTCGGTAATGTGCACATGTATGTTACACAATTGGTTACTTTTTAATTTTCTATTAAATATAACATTCATATGTAAATGCTACTTACATGTTGAATATGTTTCAAGTTAATCGATAATCAAGAGAATGTAAGTTGCGAATCAGTGAAAGCGTTAGTTTTGACATATATATATATATATAGTTATTATATACAATTGATGCACATTTCGAACTTCAATGGAACCATTTGTTAATATATTTTTTGCGATAGATGAGCAACAAAATGAGACAATTACAAGAGATGAATTGAGACGTTATGTAAAGCACAATCATTTAGATGAAGGGATGATAACGGTAGATAATTTGTTTTCTAAAAAAAATTGTTTTATTTATAATTAATGTTTTGAAAATACTTACTTTTTAAATTGTCAAGAAACTAGTTCAAGCTATATCTGTAGAATAGTGGAATATTTCACAGTCAATAGTATTATATAACTTTGCAGAATAGATTCATGAAGTGATAAGGTTATAAAGATATTCTCAAACTATCATTACTTACGTATATAATATATGATTGGATATTTCTAAACCACAAGTTGGACATTTTTACCAAGAATAGAATTTAGTTAAGCGTAAAATGTAAATATTCTAGTAGTATTAAATTCAGTGAGCAAGGTAGCTCAGTTCTATAGGTCTTGCTCCCTTTTTGGACAACATGGAATATCGAAAAACAAGTCTTGCAACACAATGTAAATTGTTATTGTTGTTTGCAATTATATATACACTGATGTTGATGAAGTTTCTTAAGTTTTATAAGTTCAGAACTTCAGAATTATATCCTCATTCAGAATAAGGTTTCATGTATAAGTAGCGGAATAATTGAAAGTAAATAGCAATGTCATAAACAAGGGTGTCCCTAAACGAGGAAGACAAGTAGAAAAAACTTTGATAACGTTATCAAAGAATCACTAGAAATTTGCTAGGTAAAAAAGTGTTTGAAGAAGTACTGTTGTACTCAATTAAAGTGGTTAGCTTCTTCATTATGGTTTATTCAGTTTTAGATGATTTATCATAATATGTAAGTGTTGATCTTGTTTAGAAATTAAATATTTACCTTAAATTTCATTATGTAAGATTTATCCTCTTGCAAAATAATGAATAATAATTATATCATAAGCATTCTCTTAACACTGACAGTAATCCCTATAATAAACCTACTTGTTGCATTATGGCTATCCAATTAATGGCTAAAATATACACCTTCAGGTATATTGTTTTTTATGTATATAACAAAAGGCAAAACTGTTGGCGAAGACACTCATGGAGAAAATATAGTTGTTCGCCAAAAGGCAAAACTGTCTTGAAATTAATACTGTCTTATTTATTTACTTAAAGATTGAGGAATAACACAATTAACCTCAAAAGCTGGTATTAACAAATGATTGAAATGGTTTAGAGATAATAACAAATTAAATAGTTACTGTGATGTCATATTCATTTTTATGTAAATCTGTTATTGAACATTTCTGTTACTAAACATTTGGAGCAATTTCATTTGTAATAATAATAATATGTATTAGAATAAATAAAATTCAGGAGGGTATCCATTATCATTGTATAAATGAATAGATTTGATGTAAAATTTACATAGTAACAAATTCTTACAAAGAAAAATAACAGTGAAATTGTTCATAGGAAAGTGTAAATAGGAAAAATTTTAACACAAAAAAAATCCAATCATTTTAAAAGGGATATTTTAATTTTAAAACTTTCTAATCATAATACACAATATGTTAAGTTCTCAGGTGTTTTAAACCCAATTGTGTCAACTTTGGATAAAATAAACCCTTAACACATTATCGCATGTAGAGTACTCTTACGTCTCAAACGAAAATTCATGCATGTGCAAAATGTGATGGTGTAATTATCTTATGTAATTATTTGTATTTTTCTTCCCTTTGTAAATTTTAATCAAACAGAAATGGCAAGCATTATTTGATCCAACAAATACTGGTATTATAACATTTCAAAAATTTTGTGATGTCCTCGGTGTAAAACCGGAACAAGCGTGAGTCTAGTCATTTTGGATTTCTTTACGTCTACTTTTAACAAGAACTTACTTGAAGGGATACAGTTCAAAGTATATTAAACTAGTTATTTGAAATGTTTGGTTCTGTGTGTAGTACATTTAGTGATGAGAATATTTCTCTTCTTTTTATTAAGTCCAGATGAAATTTGTGAACAATACATGTAACATGACATAAAATGCAAGTTCATAAACATGTTCAACAAATTACAAAATTAACTAGAGCTAATCACCGCCACTTGACTGATTAGAAGTGAAAGCAGCCTAAACTTAAAGCCGGAAAACTGTGAGCCACCTCAATAAAATCTGAGAAATTGGTGTTATGGAGCAAATAATATTAAAGTATAAACCACGATGTGTCTTTTTCATCGTGAAAACTTCTTCGCTCCTAGCATTGTGTCAACTTATCCCTCTTGTTTATTCAGCTGCTTTCCCGACTGATATTGAGTTGTATTAGAAGTCACCTAAACATGGAAACAAAGCTTCAATTTACCATATGGATTTATCGACAGGATTTTCATGTGAGGGGTAATCTAAAGTGAACTACGAATATATTACTGAGCTAAGTATCAAATGGGAACCTGTTGCCCAATAACTCTTAAACCCACATCATATTCGACATTGGAAAGTGGAGCTTCATATACGAGTAGAGTTGGTTTTGGATTCGTTCTCTCAAACAACAAAATACTGTCTGTCAAACAAGTATAAATTGTAATTCATCATTTTATCATTTTTTTCAGACGTACTCTTCGGAAGAGTGTTGTCAATAACCGACCACTGCCGAAAGATTTACAAATAATCTCCCAAAATATGTCACCAGAAGATCAATTCCAAATATTTGAATTTGTTCGATCACTGTTAGATAAAAATTTATCAGGTCAAGATATGACACAAATGATAAAACAATGGCTTGATAAGACATTCGACCCTTCATGGCATGTTGTTATAATCGATGGTTCATATTGGATATCGTATTCACATTTACCTGAACAATCTCTACAATTTCGATTGAAAGAAAAGTGTTATTTAGTTTGGCGCACACCTAAATATTGACATTGAATCAACAAAATTATGATAATTGCAGTTACGTAACGAGTATTTATTCGTAATTGAATTTTGTTTACCCATATTGTTGTTTAACCAACTGCATATATATACATATATATATCGACCCAAATGTCAAACTATCGTTTACTTTATCCAGTGTTCACCAAACTATTATATTTTAAATCCTTCACAGTTTAATCACATCACAACACACACATTACCGTATACAATTTATTTATTTTGTTGAACTGTCATATTGATGTGTATGTGAGATTGAAACTTTTGGATATGACTTTGTGTCATGCATAGAAATATAACTTACAAAATTTACTTCAACATACTTCTTTTACTGTTAGTTATTTCATTTTAAGCTGAACTAACGACCATGTAATGTTTATAGTTTTTACTTGATTGGAAGTATTCTCAATGGAACTTCATTCATTCAACATAAGATTGATCGGTACATATTCATACCGTATAAATAATTTTCCATGATATATATCTATGTATACGATTGTAACGGGAACAAAATAGTAGAATAGTGATATTGATTAACTAGTATGGATCTGCTATCGATTAAACGTTCTTTGGAAGTCGTGTCAGCTATGCAATTAGAACTTCAATACTGTCAACCATATAGAGATTTATTGTTTCGGACATATAGGTGGTGGTATAACTTGGTTGTATAATCTAATATCAAAAGTGATGCATTTTAAAACTACTTGGTGCTTTATCATGATGGATTAAACTGCGAAATCGTGCATGGAGGACAATTGACAGACTCGTTCGAGGTAAAGATTTGTGTCGGGCAAGGTTGCTTACTCTCACCCTTCCTCTTTCTCCTGGTGATCGACTGGATCATGAAGACATCAACATCTGAAGGGAAACACGGGATACAGTGGACAGTTAGGATGCAGTTGGACGATCTAGACTTCGCAGATGATCTGGCCCTCCTATCGCACACGCAACAACACATGTAGGAAAAGACGACCAGTGTAGCAGCAGCCTCAGCAGCAGTAGGTCTCAACATACACAAAAAGAAAAGCTAGATTCTCCGATACAGCACAGAATGCAACAATCGAATCACACTTGACGGAGAAGATTTGGAAGATGTAAGATCCTTTACGCAGCTGGGCAGCATCATTGATGAACATGGTGGATCTGATGCAGATGTGAACGCGTGGATCGGCGAAGCAAGAGCAGCATATTTACAACTGAAGAACGTCTGAAACTCAAAACAATTGTCAACCAACACCAAGGTAAGAATTATCAGTACAAATGTCAAAACAGTTCAACTGTATGGGGCGGAAACCTGGAGAACTACGAAAGCCACCATCCAGAAGATACAAGTGTTTATTAACAGTTGTCTACGCAAAATACTTCGACCAGACACCATCTGCAACAACCTACTGTAAGAGAGAAGAAACTAGATCCCAGAGGAGGAAGAAATCAGGAAGAAACGCTGGAAGTGGATAGGTCACAAGACAAGCCCTCACATGGAATCCTCAAGGCCAAAGGAGAAGAGGAAGATCAAAGAACACATTACGCCGAGAAATGGAGACAGACATGCTGGAAATTAACAAAAATTGAACGGAACTCTGAAGGAAGGTACATGACAGAGTGGGTTGGAGAATGCTGGTCTGCGGCCTATGCTCGATTGCGAGTAACAGGCGTAAGCAAGCAAGTAAGTAAGTAAGTACGTAAGTGGTGCTCTATCGATTCTTCAATGCACAAACCTTGTGAAGACGATTTGTTACACAAACTCCACCGACCACTCAATTACGTGCGAGTTCATCCTGTCATTTACAAAGTGCATTCTGTCATAATTAGTCCCAATAATTACCAGACTGAACAATTCTTATAGAACACAAGAACGTCGGGAATTTGTATATCACAAGTAACTGAGATAGTAAGAATCCTGATATAGAATGGCACTGGAACAACACAAGACGAGGTTTGGTCGGTTACACTGAATGAATATCATACTGAAGTTTTGTTGGGGTGCCCAAAAAGCAATGAGTACATCATTGTCAGCTAGTAATTAACAAACTCAAACACAGACGTATTTATTCGGACTATCAATAATGGAAGAAATAAACAGACAGCAAATCTTGCTTTCTCTATGTTAAACACTATAGTAATGATTCTGTCACATCAAGACACGTCCAACCGATATGTATATCCAGTACACAATTGGCAAATTTCTACGTAGGTTAGTATTTTAAAGAATAAATTAAGACCACGTAATCGGAAAACGGTGTTTGCATAATGTCCCCTGTAGATAACATATCATGCACTTAGCATTTGCTAGGAATAAAACATCAGTTAATAGACAATCTAAATATAGAAAGGTGTGCATGTAAATTAAAAACGGTCATCCTAATAAATTTATTTGTGAAACATATCCATACTACCGAATATCATGAACAGCATTGAAATGCTAAAAAGTATACAAAAGTCACGCAAGCACTTGGTCATTGTGTACATTCACTGCTTTTGAGAACATTATGATTCCTTTCTTCGCTCGTCAGTGTTATCTGACTAGACATTTTCGCGAAAGTTTATTCCCGATAAAGTACACATTTTCCTACCTTTAACAATTGAGTGCAAATAAAATTCAAATATATCAACACTACGTTCAAAAACATTGTCATGTTGTTAGGGATTTCTACAATCTAGATGATATAGTTTAACAGACATAATTGTAATCCGGATCGGGCGTTGATGGAGATTCCTTTCACTCTCCAAAAATTCAGCAATCACTTCACACAAATACACTCATCTCTATCTAGATTTTATCTACATCGGATGATTAGTCAGGAAGTATCTTAAGTAACTGAGATAGTAAGAATCCTGATATAGAATGGCACTGCAACAACACAAGACGAGGTTTGGTCGGTTACACTGAATGAATATCATACTGAATTAATGCGAACGAATGTTTCACTGACTAAACATCACACTGGATACAATTATGATCTCACGTTAAAACGTGAGTTTTAACAGTTTTGTAATGTTTAAAGTAAAATCAACCAACAACAATGAGTGAGAAAATTATGTATTGGAGGAAACGCAAACACATTGCATTATTTTACACAGGTATACTTCGATTCCATGCTAAAATAATAGTCTTTGATCACTGATTGAAAGTATTCATATAGGATTCAGTCAGTCATCTTCACTGATTACAAGAACAATACGGACTAGTTGAGAAAGCGTATTTGTCAAGAGAATATAGCCTATCGAAATTGTGTAATTATGGCTAATCAGAATGACCCAAACTTAATAGATATTGGTGCGTACGTTATTCGTGTGAGCTATTCACTCACTGATTATACTTTAAACATTCTTGCATCTTTACCTACTATAAACCTTTGAGTCGCCAAATTTCGTTTGAATTATTTGGTGTTTTGAGAATGATATGTTACTGGCTAGTTCATTCGTTGTCTCTTCTTTGAACTATTGTCGATGTTACCAACACAATCCAATGATTGTTGAAATCGCCTCCACCATTTTTAATCTAGTTACAGTTTTAATGGTCGTAATCTTGACAGTGAACAACGGTTCAGTCTAGATTGAGCGTTCTATTCAGAGTGAAACTCATCAAATGCTTCAACATTAATATGTTAATCTGTGAAATCCGAAACACGATTTCAGCACATATCACTCAGAATGTCAGAATGTTATGCAATGAAATTTCCAAATTCGACAGACATTACTGCTTCAACGAGCACTGGTTACTATAAATATTTGAGTTTGACAGTTACAAGCAGGAAGTAGACTGCATTAAAATCAATCGTTTTCACATTTTTGACATGATATGATATGATATGATATGATATGATGAATCGGTGTGAACATCTCACCACTACACGAGATCTTCGTAAACGTATGAGCAAATCAGTTCGTAGTTATAACATTTATCTGTACAAATGGCTTGTGGAGATAACTGAGTGTTTTTAAGACAGCGAGTCGACATGAGTTAGATAACCATTGCTGAGTTATACTATCGCTATCCATGAAGGATGGGATTTCAAGACAATAATGTGAACAATAATCAATGAATTGGTCAGTGAGTGGCTTATATATAGACGGTGAATTGATGTATTGAGCGTGTTAACATTCATGGTTTTGATACCAGTGTAAAATTTTCGATACAACAAGAATAATGTAGTGATGCGCATTCGAATATCATATGGAGAACCCATCCACTCAAGAGTTCACGTGTGATTTGTCGATAAGTGTGAACTGATATCGGAACTAGATCAATCGTTTCTTGCCGACTAACTTAAACCACCTGACAACTCAACATGGTAAACGTGATGTTCAGTCAATTAAACCAGTAACCACATTACAACTTGAGTGACGGAACTGTACCTGTACTAAATGGTGAGACGAATATGACATTGTTCACTAATCTGTGACCAATCATTTGTACAAGTCGAAATACCGTAGGACTTTGATGACTCTTACAACGTATCTCGTTTATCATTCTAGATAAATCTCTACCATAACGACAAACACTTTCTAAAAGATATATTGATGGTTGGATTACGGTGATTAAACTAAGAACACAACCATGTTAAATGGTAGAAAAAGCACTTGGTATGAAAAGGGATTATTTGGATAATCACTCAATGAACAATGAGTGCAGGGAATGTGCATTAATATGGATAGGTGAGAAGGCGTTCAGGAAAATTAACTATATGATATACAATATTTTCGATGGAATAATTGTATTGTCTGCATAGATTACTGAATGGTTACACCCGAATATAATTGGAACGACTACTAAACTAATTGTTTATTACTTTGATGTTAAATAGGTCATTCACAAGAATGTAGTGAAAGGTATTTAATCAATTTGAATGATATATTTTCAAATACCAAGCTGTCAAAATTAACTGATTATTTCTAGTGTGACAATTATTGTTTAATGTTAAACTACATTCTACAATTCTAGTCATGATGTGTTTAGAGATTAAACTATTGATAATTTCGTGTAT